CGTACGTACGACGACGTACGTAGTACGTACGTACGACGACGTAGTACGTACGAGTACGAGTAGACGAGTACGTAGAGAGTAGACGAGAGAGTAGAGAGAGAGAGAGAGAGAGAGAGAGAGAGAGAGAGAGAGAGAGTTAGGTAGAGAGAGAGAGAGAGAGAGAGGAGTTGGTAGAGAGAGAGAGAGAGAGGAGGATTTGGGTAAGAGAGAGAGAGCGAGAGGAGGATTTAGGTAATTTGCAAACTTTAAGCTAGAAAAACTAGGACATACCTCACTCTAGCGCAAGTTTTGCGTTCCCATGCTATTTGAATAACGTTTCTAAAATCAATTGTGTTGCAGTCATTGTTTGGTATCACACTTGTCCATATCTCAATATTGCAAGGATTCTGTAGTGGTAGTTTATCACTTAACAGATATATATACTGCCAATTTGTTATACATGTTGAACTCGAGGATGTTGGCTCCTCTATGCAGGTTGCTGCAAGCTTGTTGGCTCTTTCTGTGATAGGGAGCTGGTGCAATTTCATTACTGTCTTGTATCTTGGTGAGGAATGTCACCGTTGTCCTGTACTTGTTCTGAACTTTATGTATTATGATATGTATGCTGAAATTTTTGTATTATGATCAATGCTTTTACAAATATTTCAACCATTCAGATATTCCTAAAATATTCCAGACAATGGGCTTTTTTGAGCCCACTTCAGAAACTACCCTTTTATTTGGATTACGAAAAGAGGAAAAGGTTTTGTGGTTTCTTTTTTATGGATTTACGTTACTCAATTACCTCTCCTTTTAAATAATATAAGAGAAGTATTTCAATGAACTGGCTCCCTTTTGAATGGGAGGGAACTATTTTTTTTCCAAGAGTTCACTTTGTTCTGTTGCTATAACAATTATACTGTATAAAATTGGGGTCAAAATTTACATGAATACAAAAGAAATGAGTTACTTGTTTGTGCAAAGCTCTTATGTAGTCTAGGAGGAAAGTATTGCTTTCTTAGTTTTGCATGCCAGCCTGACAATCTCTCTCTCTCTCTCTCGCTATATATATATATATCTATCTGAGGAAGAGTGCTCTTTTTTGTCAATTTTTTGGAGGAGATTTTAGTCACCCCCTGTCAAGGTAAAGCTGAAGTTTGAATTTTGCATTGGCCAGGCTTTGTTGCTGCACATACTTTACCAGTCCTTTACGAGAAATATGACGACCAAGTGGACGGGTTTGTGTACAAGGTATTGAATCAGCTTCAACACGGTTACAAGAAATTTGACTCACGAGTTCTCACCAAAATTCCGACGAGGCCAAAGAAATCAGACTGAAAACTGATTAAGTTTCGAAGTGTTCATAAGTTTGTGTCATTTGTAATGTGTAACATTTGCTGAGATTGGGGCCTGTCTTCCCCACTGGATTACCCAAAAAACATTTGCAAAGAAAATTCAGTTTCAAGACATGTATTTAGCCCTCTGGCTGCCACATTTGTATTTTGCAACATTTTCTATTATGGTCATGTTACAGTGTAAGATCTATTTATGAAAATATTGAAAACCTGGTTTGTGTATGGGTGATCAAGAGATGGAAATGTGGCAATTGGGTCGACCCGATCTGGGTCCAAAAAGTCCTGGACTTCGGGTCCAGGTCAACCTGACCTGGGTGGCAATTGGGTCGACCTGATCAAGGTCCAAAAAGTCCGGGACTTCTGGTCCAGGTCAACCTGACCTGTATATGTACGTGTATGTATTTGAAATAAATTTTTTGAATTGTTTTTCAAAACCTTTTAATTAGGTTCTAGAAACGAATTCAACTCAACTAGAACTGGGTTGGGTTTAGGTCTAAGTCTTGGACCTATTGCCACCCCTACCAGCCTAAAATATGCTAGGGAGCATAGCTTGCGAAGGAGATCAGGCCTTTCAAGGGGTTCAACCCGTTTCAGAGCAATTGGGTCACAACAACAACGTGTCAGGTTGAAATTGCATTGAAATTTTTGTGTTTTCAAGGTCATGGTAGGAAAATTGCTAATCCGAATCGGGATCTGTCAATTCGAATTGAGATTGGCTGATTGGATCATGCTCGGGAGGTGATCAATTTTGGCTCGAGGAACCCTAGGATCACTGAATTCTCCCCAACATATTTTCTTAAATATTGGTTGATTTGGCTCGAAATCACTGAGTCAGACAGGCGAATTGGAACCAGACCCTTGGCAATTCAACGTTCATTTCCGACTTTTGAAACATTGTTTAAGACCTTGTAAGTTTTTTGAAACATTGTTTAAGACCCAGAGGTTTGTTCAGTCACAGAGAAATTTTAGGTACACTATGAAGGCAGAAAGTTAATCATGGAGCAAAAAGAAAATCTTCAGGAGCAATAATGGATGAAACAAGATACATATAAATAAAAAAATACTTACCATAAATCGATTTTTTTAAATCCATTTTTTCACTAATTTCCAATTCCACTTGGATTTGGTTTTTTTAATTATGCTCTAAATGTACTTTTTAAGGAAAAGTTTATATAGAGCCGAAGCTCTAAACAATCAAATTTAAGCCTACCTCAAAAATTTTACTAGAAAAGGTTGTTTTGAGGCCTAAATATCTTTAAATTGATCATCTCGACATCAAGATGCATAGACATGAGAAAAAATGGATTTCAAGTTTTAGAATAGTATATTTTGTAACGTATTTTTGGACCGTTAATTTTCAATGTTTTCAAGTTTTCATAGATCTGTTGATCTACACTATTTTTGAAGCTTTAAACTTTATAAATAAATAAAAAATATATTTTAAAGTTATCATAAAGATTTTAAGCATTGAAACTACATTTCTCGACACTATTTGAAGGTAGGCTCTTATTTGATGGTTTAGAGCCTAGGCTCGATACAAAACCGCACCCTACTTTTTATATTTTTTTAACATTTTTGTGACCGACCGGGACTTGCCCAGTTAGGGCGGTCTAATCGACTAGTTTATTGGTTACTCGGAAGTCGGATCTAGCCTTTGGCCGATTTCTGAGACTGGATCGATTTTTCGAACACTGCTCTGTAGTGACAAATCTTGCATGGTAATAGGCACATGTAAGTCAATCTTGGTTTATCAAAGTAAAGAAGTCCTTAGCTGTAGTTAAAGGAAAAAGCACCCTTAATAAAGGAGTTGAGGGTTTTGGTAGGGGCTGGTGTCCTAAACATAAGCATTTCAATGTCAAATAAGAATAAAAGAGACGAGTTTTTGGGTTTGTGCTTTAGGAAAATTCTTACTATGGAAATGAAGTTGGGTAAGAGGATGAACTAACCAATCACAACTCCAACAACCAAAACAAATGCCTTGAAATTCTTTCACTATATATATATATAAGGACTCCAAGGGCACCAATGCACATTCAAACTCAAAATTCTCTCCCAAAACCTACATTGTTCTCCCTCTCTCTCTAGAGCCGTTCATCCTCAAAATCACACCCTTTGAGTACTCTCTCTCTACAATGGCTTTATGCAGGGGCTTCCTGCTATCGTTGCTCGTGGCTCTTTCGTTGCTCAACACCAATGTTTGCGTAGCGTCGCGCAGGTTACTGGACACCCCACCTCTCCCGAAGCCGACGACGTTATCCCCTTTACCCTCCACAATTCTCACTCCATCCCTCCCGAAGCCCACATTGCCTCCTTTGCCCGCAACAAGTCCAACAATTCCCAGTTCACCCCTCCCGAAGCCGACATTGCCCCCTTTGCCCACGGCGATTCCGACAATCCCCACTTCGCCCTTGCCAAAGCAGACATTGACCCCTTTGCCCTCAACAATTCCGAATATCCCCACGTCGCCTCTCCCAAAGCCCACATTGCCCCCAATGCCCTCGACCATCCCAACGTCAATCCCCAGTATCCCCACAACAATCCCTAAAATGCCGACCACCCTCGCCCCCATGCCCTCCCTCCCTTCTTTGCCAACAACCACAATGCCTACAACAATCCCAAAAATCCCAACCACCACCCCTCCTTTGCCTTTCCCATCCTTGGCAACCACTCCTATGCCATCGACAATTCCGAAAATCCCAACCACAGTACCTCCAATGTCCTCCATCCCTTCCTTTCCAACAATCCCCAAAATCCCAACCACCCCTTTCCTCCCCCAAATTCCCATGCCCTCCATCCCTTTCCTCCCCCAAATTCCCATGCCCTCAACGATTCCTAAAATCCCAATCACCATCCCTCCTATCCCTTCACTTCCTAACCTCCAATTCCCTAATGTCCCTTTCTTGACCCCACCCCCTCCTAAGGCCAGCCCTTGACATGCCATGTGGCATGCACCAATTGGATCGTGTCGGCCCATGTTTTCCGGTCCCCACGACCTTTAGCATATGGATTTTGCTAGTCAGTGTCTCTTGCATCTGTGTATTTTCCTTTTTTTTTTTTTTCTTTTTTGACATTCATGTCATGGATTGTGCATTGTGTTTGTGTTATCTATTGGTTTGATTGGTAGTAATAAATGTGTTATTTTATGGAATTTTCTGGTGTTAAATTGGTTGGTTTTAGGATTCAACTATCCAAATTCAAGGGAAGCCTATAATTTTGGCCATCCATTACCCTGAAACTTATAGCAGACCATTCAATGAACAAGTGAAAGTGTATTGTGTACAAAGAAGCCTTAAATGTGATGCACCAAGGAGGGAAAAATAAAAAAATAATCTCACTCTCTACATGTCTAAAAGACTTGACATCCCAAGATTGGGTAGGAATGATCCTACATTTGGAGGGAAATATCTATATGTTAAAGAAGTCAAAATCCAAATATTTTAGTTGATAACAATAATCTAGTGATACTTGGATTGGATCCCAAAACTTGAAATTTTTTCACGCCCATAATCGTTGAGATCAAGATAATCAATTTGACTGTTAATCAGTGCCGGAACAACAATTTACACCGAGATTTGAGCACTTTTCCATACTTGGAATCATAATAATGAAATCATAATTATAATGGGAACAATTAAATCTTCCCTTTTACAAGCACCACAACAACAGTTCAGAGAGAAAATGAGACAAAATGCTTCACACCAACTTCAATTCCAATATTTGAATAATTGACACACTTATAAACCTATTACACTGATTTAGAAATATTTCTCACGTGTCTCCACACGTGAGAGTGACACTTACTATACACTATACAATGCAAGCATAGCATTGAATTGTATTAGAACCATTAGGCAAGGAAGAAGGCCCTGCAAATGGTGCTCTAAAGAACAATGGAAACATGAAACACAAAATAAGGTCGATTAGGGAGTTGGGGGCAGCTTAGGAATAGAAGGGAATGAGGGGAAATTTGGGATTTCAGGCATTTTAGGGATGGAGGGTAACTTGGGAATTGCGGGGATAGGAGGGATGGAGGGCATTTTAGGAATTGTTGAAATTTTTGGCACCGGTGGGAGGTTGGGCATTTTGGGGATCTCCGGCAAAGTCGGCACCGAGGATACTTTTGGGATTTCCGGCAAGGGCGGCACCGAGGGTATTTTGGGAATTGGGGGGATTTTGGGTTTGTCTCCCAAGGGTGGGAGCTCAACCTTGGGCAGATCAGGAATTTCTGGCAGAGTTGGAACCTCTGGGGCGGCCTTATCTATGCTACTAAGACAGCGAGCTTCTATAAAAGCAATATTACTAAACAATGAGAAAGAAATAAAAGATACAAAGAAGAAACAATTGTAAGAGGCCATTGTTTCAATTTGAGGGTATTTTGGGAAGCTAATTTGAAGAACTAGAGAGCAACTACGACCAAGGTTAGAGCTCTTGGGGTGGCGTTATAGTGGAGGGAAATTGAGAAAAATTGACAAATTTTTCTTGGGCCTTAGAAAAAAATATTATAGGTCAAATTGGTGGATGCTATAGAGTTAGGTTGGCAGGCTTAATGTGGGAATAAGTGAGTGGGTAGTTCAACTTCTTATCCGTATGGTTTTCAATGTCAAAATCTACATGCAATTGCAGATGATACGTCTACTTTAATGAGTTATTTCTATAGTCGTTAGCAATACGTGTAACATCTCAATAAACTGATGAAAAATTTAGAAGATAAATTTTTGTCAAAGTAATGTGTGGATTGGGTTCTAGATCGCCTATCCATACTTCTAAAATGGTTCGGTTTTATTGATGATCTGGATTGGCCAAACCAATGAAAAATAAAGAATAAAAATAAAATATAAAGTTGGGGGAATTTGAAGGGGAGGAGATCTGGATTATCCAACAACCACATTTGATTCGGAGCGGCAATTATCGATCCAAATCAAGGGGTTTTAAACCCCTGCTCACACCAAACTTTGGTGAGCTAAAAAATAAGAACAATGTGCTTTATGTTAATAAATAGTATCAAAATAACATATATAGTTTCCCATAATCATATCAACATTATCGTCGAAGCCTTTTTTCAACTAATTGTGATGGGCCACACAAATCATGATCCGTCATTTAACTCTACTAAAGGCCATACCCTCAATGAAGCTATAAGTCCTCATATTCCCTATATAATCATATAACAAATTTAAATATCGACTTGCAATATAATAAGAAATGCAACTACATATATTGTAGTTGTATATTACCAAATATATTTAATCGGTAATAGCATAAGCTTAACTCAATCATACCTTTCTTTTATAGTAAGTTTATTTGTTTAGCAAAATTGAGGATTTCAAATTCAAGATGTACAGTGAAATAGAAGTTTTACAAAAATCTGAATTTTTATTAGGAGATATTAAATGTTGTCTACTTCAAAAGATCTCAATATTTGTACAAGACTTCGAAATGATCAATACTCAACCGGGACACGGTTTCTATGGGGCCAGCCCGCATATTGTAGAAATGTCGCTTGGCAATAAATATATTTTTTAAATATAATTTGATCCTAATTTTAAAAGAATATATAATCTTTAACATGGAGATCATGAATATGAAAAAAAAAAGTTGAAAAATAAAAATAATATTTATATTAAGAAAACATTTCGACCGTTAGTTATACTTGTTTTGTGATGGACCACCTACTAGCATCCATCTTAAAGATGATGTTTTATATACCTCTGGACCACATATTGTAGAAATGCGATCAAACCCGCATGAAACACTTTTCTACTAAATAGTTTTTACAAATATAACCCCCACACCCCAA